ATTTCTTGAGAATCTTTTCACCTCTATATAGATATATATGTATTAGGGGCATTCCTTGAATTGAACTCGGGACCTCTCGCACCTTAAGTGAGAATATACAATCATCTTCACTAATTAATTGGGGGAGAAGAAATGGATAAAAAGGACAAATAATGAAGAGAAAAATCATTGTGTACAAATTTACTTATTTTGCTTAACTCTCAAATTATATTTTCAAAATATTCGTACTCCCCTGTTACTTTTTTTTTTTTTTTTTGGTAACTAGCTTTCCAATAATCACCAAAAGAACATTACAAATCTTAGCATGCTACATCACAGCAATGTTATCCTTAATCAAACCACAAGCTACCTAGAATATAAAACTATGTATTAGACTACTTATTCTAGGGGGGGGTCTTACACAACTTACATATATGATCTCTTTAGCTATAGTTTCCCACTGTTGCCTCTTGTTTCAGAAATTCTCTGATTTCTCTCATTCCATAGCCCATATGTGATTTCTGCATACATCATCTTGAACACATGCGCCTCCTTGGATTTTCCTTTTGCATTGCTGATAGTCCATTGTATGTATTACTCCCATGTAGTAGCATTATACATTGGCTTGTTCATCCATCTTAAAATCATATCCCACAATCTTCTCACATAAGTACATTGCACAAAGAGGTGTTCCCTCGATTCCTCCTGCAGCTGGCATAGGCAACATGTTTTCTCTACAGCCAGACCACATTTGCTCAGTCTATCAGTTGTCAACATCTTTCCATGAAGTTGAATCTATGTTGTGAACTTCGATTTTGGTCTGGCAACATTCATATACATTAGACATTTCCATGGCACTTTAGGTTTATCTTCTAACATATTGTTATAGAGTTGTCTTATCACATTTTTCTCTGGATTGATCATAGGAAATTGAGATATAACAGTCCTTTCCTCTAATATTTTCCTAATCATCCAGCATGCCTGCTTTGGTACTTGAATATTATCTCCTTGTTATCCTTTTATGTAGTATGTATGTATCCATCTAATCTACAACTTGTCAACTTTGTGCTCCACATCTCAATAGTTCTTAGCTATAGTAGCCTTGTTCCTGATTCTCAGATTAGTTAGGTTCAGAACTCCCACACACTTAGGTGAGCATAGTGTTTCCCACGCCACTAGAGCTTTTTTGGTAATGGTATTGCTTCCTGACCAAAGATAACTCCTACAATAAGCTTTGATCATCTTCATCACCTTAGTTGGCATCATAAACAGTTGCGCTCAATAAGCCTGTATTCCAAATATTACAGACTGAATGAGTTGTGCTCGTCCAGCGTATGACAACTTTTGAGCAGCCCACGAAGAAATCCTAGCAGTGATCCTTGTGATGAGAGGCTTCCATTGAATAAGAGTGATTTTCTAAGTGGATAATGGAATTCCAAGATATTTGAAGGGAAACTCTCCACGACTAAATCCCAACTTAGTGAGGATATTCACTTCCTCGGCTAGTGGTACTCCCCCAAAGTACACAGAGATTTTTCCTAAAATAGCAAGTAGTCCCGATGCCTTAGAAAATTCATCAAAACATTGTTATATCATAGTAACTGATGCTAGGTCACCTCTTGAGAAAAGGAGCAGGTCATCTGCAAAACACATGTAAGTTATTCCTAGCTTTCCACACCTTGGATGAAATTTAAACTCTCTAGTATCCTTGAGGCTGTGTAATAATCGACTTAAGTACTCCATTACAATTGCAAAAAGAAAGGGTGACATTGGATCACCTTGCCTTAAACCTCTGGCAGCTTCAAAAGAAAGAGTAGTTTCTCTATTAATCAATACTGAGTAGCTCACTGTTTTCACGCATTCCATCACCCAATTGGTGAACCTTCTTGGAAATCCAAGTTCAGTCATTACTAGGTCGAGATATATCCATTCCAAAAAGTCGTAAGCCTTTTGTAAATCTATTTTTATCATACACCTTGGAGATATGTGTTTCATGTTATATCCCTTCACTAATTCATGTGCAAGAATAATGTTGTCTCATATCTTCCTCCCGGTATGAAACCTGTTTGCTCTTCACTGATCACAGTGGTCATTACCTTCTGTAGCCTTGTAGCTAGGATCTTCGAAATAAGTGACAACATAATAAATGTCCAGAGGACAGAATAAAATCTTTAATTCCTGGGTTTCCTTTGCCAATAGACCAATCAATGAAGCCCTCTCGAAGGAATCTTTCAGGGTGAAAAGCAAGATGTTTGACCTGTCGGGCGTAACCTTTTATAAAGGACTGAGCAACAAGTTATGGGTCGATATTCTTTGATATTAGCAGGGCTAGAGTTTTTGGGCACCAGAGTTACAGTGGTACAGTTTATAGCCTTATAGAGTATACCTGTATTGAAAAATTCCCCCACAGCTTCAATGACCTCATGTTTGATAATTTGCCATGACTTTTTGAAGTATACAACATTATATCCATCAATTCATGGGGCCTTATCATCACCTATAGATTTCAAACAGTGTGCAATTTCAATCTCAGTTATAAGGCTACACAGATGCACTCTTTGCTCTTAAGACAGCACTGCTCCTCTCTTCATAGCTCTTGTATTGATTGCTGGTAAATTATGTGTGGAAGATCTTATTAAACCTTTGTAGAACTTGACCATTTCTTCTTTTATTGCGCCTTGGTCATATAATTGAATACCCTCCAGAGAAGTTAGTTGAGTGATTTACTTTCGTTGACTTCTTTCCTTCATGACAGCACTAAATTACTTAGTGTTTGAATCCCCTAATTTAATCCACTTAGCTCTGGACTTCTGCTTCATAATGTTCTCCTCTATCATAGACCATTTTTCTAGTTCATTCAGGGCATTAGCTTCCTTCATTTGCAAAGTATCATTGTATTGTATTATGATGTGCTGCTGCACTTCTGCCAAATTCCTTCTAGCTATCTCCACTCTTTGAACAGTATTCTTAAATTCCTGATTATTCAGCTTCCTGAAAATTGGCTTAAGGTCCTTCAACTTACACCACACATTGTGCATACCTTGAGTAGCCTTTCGATTTTGCCATGTATCTCGAACGATAGATTCAAATCTGCTATGCTCTGCCCAGACATTAGAGAACCTGAAAGGTACTTTGATATTACTTTGACACTTATTTACTTTTAGGATCATAGGAGCATGATCAGAAATATTTGGCAATTCATATTCAAGTATCCCATGTCCCTATTTCATCATTCATTCATTGTTTCCTAGAGCCCTATCCAATCTGCTACATAGCCTCTCATTACCTTGTTGTTTATTATTCCAGGCATAATAATCTCTTTTCCAGGCATAATAATCTCTTTTCCATGGCAACTCAATAAGAAGAGTAGATTGCATACAGTTTCAGAAATCCTTAATGTCAGCATATTGCACTGGTTTGCTAGATAGTCTATCCTGAGGATAGTAAGGCATTAAAGTCCTCACAAATTATCCAAGGATTAACTATGCTTTGAGCCTTCTTTTCCAAATAGCCTTATAATGATTTCCTTTGTTCAGCAGTGTTGAATCCATAAATAACAGTTAAGTAGCACTCCACATCTGTCACAATACCTTTCACCAAACAATGAATCCATTGTGCATCCTCTTCTACAAGTGTGATTGAATATGATTGTTGTTCCCACATGATCCAAATTCTTCCATTGCTAGCCGATTGATAATTGTGTATATAACCCCATCCCTAATTAAGATTATTCATGATCCTATCCACTTTAGGATGTTGTACTCTAGTTTCAATTAAGCCTACCAGCTTAATATGATTATTGTGGAAAAAAATTTCACTTCTTTTTGTTTATGCCTTTTATTCACCCCCCTAACATTCCAAAATACCCAAGTCATATGGATTGGGTAATCCTCCCCTTACCTGGAGGTTTAGTACTTCCCCCACCTGCACTGACTACATTAAATATGTTCTTTGTAGGCACTGAATATAGCATTGGAAAATCCTCATGTGTAAACTCTGGACTCTTGCCTCTTTGTTGAGTTTTGTTATACTCTTCTTCGTTTCTATTTTGTCCCTGCACTATGCTTTCCACTTCCTTCTGTTGTATCACAATCCCTTCACCCTGTTGTTGTGTCGTTTGAGCCACTGGTAGAATTGATCCTTTACTTATCCATTTTTGCACCACCTTTTTCTGCCCTGCGTGACCTCCTCTTCTTCTTGCTTGTCCATGTTCTCTAGGCTGGTTAGGGTCACATTTATGTCCTATGACTTGACAAACTTCACAGAACATTGATTTCCATTCATATATAACTTGTTATATAAACACTCTACCCTTAGGATCTTTCACAGCAATTTTATCGGGGAGTGGTTTGGTTATATTGACTTCAATTAGCATTCTCGCAAATGATACTCTCGATTGCTTAGTTGTACATTCATCAGCATACATAGGCGTACCTATGGTGCTTGCAATTCGGCTTAGCGAATTTGACCCCAAAAGTTCAGTGGTAAGTGCTACAGTTTCACCCATAAGGGGATATCTGTTGAGAACTCTTTACTAAAATCAAAATCAGCTGACCATTTCTTCAAAATCAGTGATATGTAGTTTATAGAATAAGGTCCAGCCATCAGTATTTCCTGGGTATCCTTCAATGATTGAAACTTCACAATAAAATACCCTTGGCCATGCATATATATACTCGGTTCTGCAACATTTCAATTTTGAGTCACAAATCTATGCATTGCATTATAGCCTAGGCACTCTCCAATAGCATAAACAATTAGAGCACAATTCCACTTCTCAGTCTCTCTTTCAACCTCCTCATTTTCGAGTTGAACTACTATCTCACCTTCCTCAAATTGAGGTGTGATATATTCTAAGGCCATAACATTCCCTGCATTTCTATTCTTCTTAAACATATTAACCCCGGGTTCATCAGCTTTCTTTACCTTCCCATCATCTGTCACCGCCTCTTTATCTACTGTTCCATTGATTTGTTGGAGGTTTTCCACTATATCCTTCATTGCTTCACTATTTGGGATATTCAGTTGTAGTTTCCTCCTCGTTCCCGTCCCATTAGACAGAGATCCAGTCTCCGGGTTATGGATTTAGCATTTTCGGCTACTGCTTTAGCTGGATCTGGTTCCGGTGACACAATTTGAGTTCCTACTGAGCTTCCGATGGTAACTAGTGGTTGTTTTCCCGCACGTCCTTGCCCTTGTCCTCTTCCTCTTCCCCGACCTCTGTCCATGGCACCACACCGGCGTACGATAACTACCTTACGCCGAGAGCATGAAGCAGGAGAGAGGAAAATCTATTATTAAGTTGTTAAGTTATACTATTCTTCCTCTATTCTCTTTTAGTTGTCATGTTAGACTTTTCAATAGTTAATTTGACTAATTTCTAAATCTAAATTAGATTACATTAATTCGATATTTTAAAATAAAAATTTAGATATTCAAAAACTATATAAAAAGTAATATAAATTACAATTTTTTTCATACCAATATAATTAAAAATATATCTTAAAATATTAGTCAAAGTTCATATTTTTGACTCTCAAAAAGATAACTATGACATCTAAAAAGGAGTGGATGAAGTAATATTCTATAACCAAACATAGGTATATGAAAAACTACCTCAAGTGCCAAAATTGGAGAAACATTACTGAAATGCAACGGTCTTTCCTCTGCAGTAATACATGCATATTTTCCTTGCTGTACAATAAAATTAAACACTAGAAATTGTAAGCATATTAAATTACAATTATTTTAACATTTTTTATCCTCAAATAATGATATGGTTTGGATATTCAATATTGAATTATATTATTCAATATTTATTTAACCTTTCATATAACAAATGTCAATCATTAGTATTCTACGAAAATGTAAAAGACAAGTCAATTAAAAATTAACCAATCAAATTATTTGGAAACCCGAGAAAAATGATAGTGTGTATGTATTTTCTTAATTCGTTTAACTCTATACATTATATTTTCCTAATATAATACTCGTTGACCAAACATAAATATATGAAAAATACCTCAAGTTTTAAATATAGAGGATCATAATGGAATTAAAATATTTTTTTCTTTGTAATAACACCTCCGTAATTTTCTTGCTACACATTAAAATAATACATCAAAAATTGCAAGTGTATTTACTATTACCATGTTGTATTCACAAATTATTATATAATTTTGAGTTTCTCTACTGGATTATCTTATATCGTTGAAAATATACAACACAAATTTTACCTTTTATGTATCTAAAGTCAATTATTTGTATTCTTCAAAAAAATTAAGACAAGCACCTAATTTGAGTATTAACCAACATAACTATTTGGCAATCCTTTGACTTCAAACTATACAACCATCTACACTAATTAACTGGGGAAAGGAAGTGGGTATAAAGAACGTATAATGAAGTGAAAAATTATAATGTATACAATTTCTTTTTAAAAAATTCAGAGTATAATACTCTATGACCAAACATAGATCTATATGAGAGACTACCTTAAGTTTCGAATTTTGGGGATCATATTGGAGATGGGATGATGTTTCCTCTGTAATGACACCTTCATAATTACCTTGCTATAATGAGTTAAGACGTTAAAAATTATAAGCATATTTAGTGATAATTATTTTGATGATGTATTCACAAGTTATGATGTTTCATTATTTAGTTTTTTTTTTTATACAATACAAATTTAATCTTTTCATATCAAAAGTCGATCATTTGTGTTATACAAAAATGTAAAAAACAATTAGATTAAATATTAACAAGCATAAGTATTTGGGAAGCCTTTCACCTCAAAATAGACAAATATCTCCATTAATTAATCGGGGGAGAAAAAATAATTAAAAAACAAAATTATGAAGCGAAAAATGATAGTGTGTGTATACTAAATCAACTTAACTCTATAAATTAATTTTTCAGAAAATAAGACAGATATATGAAAAATTACCTCTGATGCCGAATTTGGAAGAACATTACCAAGATGTAACGGTATTTCCGCAGCATTAATACCTTCATGATTTCCTTGCTACATAATGAAATAAGTTATAAAAAATTATATGAAGATTTAATAATAATTAATTTTACACTATTTATTTGTAAGATATGATATAATTTTGATCAGTTACTTTAGAATAACTCACGTAATATAGGACTGTTCACGTAGAAATCCTTGATGGTGAAATTAAGACGATATCATTTAAATTTTCCTCAAATAATGATGTTTAGTCCTCGAAAAATAAACTTATTGATACTGATTGATACCATTAATTAAGCTAACAGTTATCCCCTTCTCATTTTTGTTAGGTTTGTGCAGTAAAATATACACTAAAAATCATCAAATATTTACGTTAGAAAGACTACAACTTTTTAAACATAAAGAATACTAGAAAACAAATAAGAAAAAAATATATAAAATCAGAAGTACGTACCAAATTACAAGGCTTCTGATTAAGATGTCGACTTAATATATTAGAAAATTCTCTATCTTTCTCATAATCAGACATGAAGCCTCGAAGATCAGTCTCGGTATCATGATCAGCATAGTTGAGATTTTCTGTCATAAGTTGTGGAGCTAAAGTTGAAATATTACTAGCATTACTAGGTACTCGAATTCAAAATCAATTCTGGAATAGCATTTTTCTCCAAGCGCATACGATATTTCTGCAAAGTGTACAAAGACAAGTTTGACTACTTAATTCTAATAATAAATAAAGATAATGATGCAATTGCTTTAAGTAAATTTCCACATTAGATTTATCGAACTTTTAAATTTGTTCTATCAAGGAGTATATACCATGAGCATGTTTTTATATAACAACTCTCAAATTTGATGGCTTTTATTCAAGAAAATATTAAATATCACATTTAAAGATGCTTGAGTTCCATTTAAGAAATGTTACAATAACTTAATAGGTTGAAAACCATTTTCACTCAAAAAGTTTTTTTAAAGTAAAATCAAACTCATCATCAACTTTGAATAATCGACATTCTCTAACGATTCCCCTCTACCCTTCTCCCTTAGTTCAAGTCATATCTATTTTACCCTTTTACATTCACTTGGGACCAACAGTGGTTCTAAGTATAGGCCACGTCTAGGACATAGACTCGGACCGTGAGATTAAGCTTCACTTTTGTTTCATTTTCTATTGTTAATATAGAAATGAGTTTTTATTGTTATTGATAAAAAAAAATTCTTAATTATAATTTAAAATCTATTTACTCTATAAATAGATAATCATTTTAAAAGTTGTTATAAATATACCTCTATTTTTATTAATTCTTTTTTTTATTACCTACTTTGAAATATGTTTATAAAGTTATTCTCGATTTTTTTTTTGTCATTATGCTTACACTTATTTTATTTTTTTGGTAAATAAATTGATTTTATTGCCAAGTAGGAAATATAATTCATGAAGAAAAAAAAAAACAAGCTGGACATTCCCTAGAGTTGCATCAACTATCTAACTTCTCTATCATAACTACCAATGCCCTCTCTAAGGGTTGCAACATCATAGCTAGCTAAGTACCTAGCTTTACATAAGATAAGAATTCAGATTTTGTAATATATGGTTTAGTCTTGGTTATGGTCTTCTTCTTACATGCACCTCTTGAACAACATTATAGGAGTTTTGGTTGTTTTTATATGTGAATTTATTGTATAGATTCCTAAAATGATAAATATTCTGACTTTTAAAAAGTAAAAAGAGGTTGTAGAAAATATAAACATCAAGGTAATTAATTAAACCTGAAGATGGCTTGCTATGTGTTTTCTACTCAGCTCAGGAATATTCATGAGTTCAAGAATTTTTTTCGGATAAGCTTCTGCAAAAAGAAAAAAAAATCACATATAAAAAATAATAAAATATATTTGTTACCAATATCATGTTCATTTCCTTGTTTTACTCAATCGGAATATATACACAATTAGTGATGGAGGCAGAAAATTTACTAAGCGGCGTCAAAAAATATACAAAAGTAGACATTTGTAAAAATAAGGGGAGTCAATCAAGTACCTACAACATATACAAGAAATTAAAATCTTAATCTAATTAAATAGTGTAATTTTTTGGTGAAATATCGTATATAGCTATCTAATGAGATTTAAGAAATTTATAAAATTGTGTCAAAATATACAAAAGTGGGCATGCGTAAAACTAAGGGGTACCTTCAACATATAGATAAAATTAAAATTTTAATCTAGCTAAATAATGTAATTTATCGATGAAAGGTGGCTCTGTCAATATAGGTAATATTTTATTAGTCTTATTTTTCAAGTCACATATTTTATGGCGTCTTACATATAGATAACATTTGATTGAGCTCATAATTTATGTGTAGGAAGACTTACTTTTCACGCCAAGTATTGCAATAGCTTCCAAGAATTTGTTGTGAAGGGAATCCGTCCAAATGATTCTACTCGTCTTGGATGATTTAGATGAAGCGTCTTCATGATTTTCAACGTCGTCATATTTTCTGGTAGACTTGTCCCTCTCACTAACCGAAGACGAAGATTCAATATAAATTACGTCATTAGGGTTTTCTTCAAACTCTTGTTTGCTTGTATGCTTCTTGTTTCGCAAGGAGGTTGCGTATTCCCATAAATAATTTATATTATCTTGTGTTATGGGCTTCACTATGAAGAAAACAGCTCTATTGTCAAGTCCTTTCATAAGTGTATTGTCTTTCTCATCATTTGACATAACTGGCGATCACATTCAATGATACAGATTTAATAAGTCATACAATATATTCGAGCAAAAAGGATGAGGCTGCAAATATAAACAAGCAACAACTAAACAAATGTTGAACTCCCAGGTACCTAAAACTCCCCCTAATCCCCAGCTAGTACAAAATTTAGGGGAAAATAAGTATACCCTTAGGAGTTAGAGGACACAATAGAGTTAATGAGGGAAACTTTGATCGAAATAGCAGTCTTAAAATATATAAAGGTAATAATATTCAATGAGAAATAAAATAAAATAAAAACACATACTTATCATCCATGGTATTATTAGGGTTAGTTGTTATTTCATATATAATACATGAATATATTATTTGAATCTTTGTGAGTTGAGAGTTATCAATAAAGAATGACTTTTTCACTCATATACATCTATAATAATAACATATTTTTAATTTCACAAAGAATTATAAACTTACATGCAACAGGAATGTCAAATTCTTTAGCTATTTCTTGTTGAAATTGGAAGACATCCATTTTAAGCATGTGGACATCTATGAGCAAAAGATCAAATGAGAGGCCACTGCTCCGAAGGCCACCCAAAGCAACTTCTATGTTATTCACTGTCATAACTGAATTAAACAAAGAAATTCTATTATTATATAAACATACAAAAAGAAAAAATTATTGCTAATACATATAGAAATATATCCAAAATGAAGAATTAAAGAAATTAATTAGATGAAGTCAAATATACTTCATCAGTTTCTTTTAGTTGTCTTATTGCATTTTTTCAACATTCAATTTGACTAACTTTCAAAGTTAAATTAAATTATATTATTTTAATATTTTAAAATAAAAATTTTAATATTCATAAACTATACAAAAATTACTATATATCACAATTTTATTATATCAATTTGAGAAAAAAAATACATTTATAATGTTAGTCAATGTTTATATCGATTGACTCTTAAAATGAAAATTGTGTCAGATAAAAAGGAAAAGAGAAAATATATATTTATATATGCTAATTAAGATTTTATTACCATAAATAGAGTATCAATTATTAAACTAAATGAGTATACTTAGATTAATTATTATATTGAATCGGCGGCTTCTTGATTAAGGATATAGGTAACCTAGGTTATAAAATGTGTTATTTTATAGATTTTTTTATAAATTATTATGCCCAGATTATTAAATCAGTTTATACTATTTCTAGTGGCATTCCTTTTGACTAATGCTCTAAGTAATTAATAGTAATAATGAGTTATTATTGTTGTATAAGAATTTCTTACTTTAAAGGTATCTTTGTCCTTAAATAGTCTAATCTCCTGGTGTGGGTATTATTATTCGATATTTTATTCAGAAGAGGATTCATAATTTAAAGTTTATGAGTTCTACATTGTAATTTCTATGAACTATTGAGTTTTTTTAAAATAATAATTTATATATATAAAATAAATTATTTAAGATAAATAATATAGAATTTGCAAAGAAGCTATTGCTTTCACCGAATTGGTACCTTCTACTCTCTTCATATCTCATTATTTCATTGCGCATAAAATAATACATAGATACCAACATGACCTAATACATATGTTATAAAATTGGACCAACCCAATATTGCATTAATTAAATGTCTATTTTATATAGATTTTATGTTAAAATTAGTTCTACATATATAATAAAATAGTGGTGTCTTCATGATTTTGTACAGTCAAAATTCATTAAATAAAACATGACAAACGTGTAAAAATATTTGACCTATTTGATATTTTCTGAAATTAAAATAATAAAAAATTAATATTTTGCGCAACGCGCGGATACGTATACTAGTTCATTAAATAGAAAAGAAAAGAACAATTGTCAGTTTTGGCAAAAGACTAGAAAAAATACCCTACTTTGGGATGGAATAGGTTTCATTGATCACAACTCCAGATTTAAGATTGTGACATTTACAAATTTTACGAAAAATGAAAAAAAATTAGTTAAGTACCTTCGAATTTCAAATTCTTGAGTGATGCAGTAGTAGTGAGAAGGCAATTGATATCATCATCCACAACCAGAATTCTAAACTTTTCACTGTTTTCTACCTCCATTGATTTCAATTTCCCAAAAACATAAATAATAACAATTGATTGCAAGGTGTTTTAGATTGTTTTTGTAGAAGGGAAACACAAACTTAAACAGATAAGCAAAAAAGATGAAGAGGACACTTCTTAACTATTCTCTCCGTCCCATTTTATATGTCACATTTTTACAATAATGTAACTTTACCCGTCTACCCTTATTTAATGTTTTCTTAAGTCAACTTTATAATAAATGATTAATACAATTTCAAGATTAATTAACTACTCTATCAAGGGTATAATACGCAAAATATGGTATTTTATGCATAAATTTTATAAAATGACCAAGTATTGTGGTCCAGCTATTTATAGAAAGGGAAGACATATAAAATGGGACGGAGGGAGTATTATAGAAACCCTTTAATAAGCCCTTTAACTTGGCTTTAACACATATCTATGTCGTCCAACTTTGAGTATACATAAGTAGACACTTAAATTTATATAAAATTGAACAAGTAAACACATACGTCCTATGTGGCATAATATATACATGTAGGACGCGATAAGACACAAAATTTTCATGTAGGACGACACGTAGGACGAATGTTGTTAAGCAGGTGGTTAAATGCACTGTTGTTAGCTAAAAGAATATAGTCAGTTAAAGTTAACAGATTATGAGTTAGTTAGAAGTGCCAGTAATTCAGTTAGGATAATTGATTATATATAGAGGCTAAGTAGCAGTTATAAAGTCACACTTTTAGCATCTGTAAATTCATTCAAACAATTAATATACAATTATCTTTACATGCACTGATCTTTACATGGTATTAGAGCTATAGGGATCTAGGGATTTATCCTCGTGAGATTTGGAGGTAGATCGAGAGATTCACCATGGCGATTGAGGAAGAACTGACGAGAAGCACTGTTGGTCGAGTTCAAGGAGATCTTGTCAATGGAAGCTTTGTGGTAATTGATCACAATCACCCCCTATATTTGAGTTCTTCTGATGTTCCTGGAGCTCTTTCTGTTGGAATTCAGCTAACAGGAATGGAGAATTACACCTTGTGGAGTCGACCTATGGAAATTGCATTGCTTGGACGAAACAAAGTGGGATTTATTGATGGTTCTATTTTGCGTACTGATTTCGATGGTGCTTTGAAGAAGATTTGGGATCATTGTAACGCAATTGTAATCTCTTGGCTCACCTGTAATGTGAGCAAGGATCTACTCAGTGGAATTCTATACTCATCCAGTGTGAATCGGGTATGGCTCGATCTCAAGGAAAGATTTGATAAGGTTAATGGATCTAGACTCTATCAACTGCACAGAATCATTTTCACTCTCACAAAGAGGACTCTGTAAGTCTTTTCATACTACACGAAATTGAAGAACCTATGGGATGAGTAAGATTCAATTTTACCTCCACCTAGCTGTGATTACAATAAGGCAAAGAACTATGTTGAATAAATGCACCAGCGATTGCTTCAATTTCTCATGGGGTTAAATGACAATTATTCACAGGCTAGAGGTAAGATCTTGATGATGACATGCCTTCATAATGTGAACCAGGCTTATGCCTTAATTATACAAGATGAAAGTCAAAAAGGAATTGTTGGATCTGTACATGAAGGAATGGAATCTTTAGCACTGTATACTGCTAGAAATATTAGGTCACCACAGCCTAATTCTAGGGAGGCTTTTCCCAGGAGGAACTTCCATTCATTATTATGTGACTTTTGTAATATGAAAAGGCATACTCGAGCTGAATGTAATAACCTGAAGAAATGTTATCACTGCAATGCTACTGGACATGTGTAGGATGATTGCTTCCAACTCATTAGCTATCCATAAAATTTCAAAGGTAAGAAGAAGGTAAATGCAATAATGAGAGATAGTGCTATGCAAAAACCAATGTCATTTATGCAGGATCAACTGGCATGGAAGGCACACACAGTTGTGGGAGAGAAGTCACATCCTGATCTATCTTAGATGGGAGATCATATGGGAGAACAGCCTACACATGACCAGTTGTTGCAAATGCTGAACAAATCCTCACCAGCACAACTTAACCAGATACTCAATGTTCTGCAAGGCAACAACAATACCATGAATACTCAGAAAAGTGCACACATGGCAGGTAAGCCTATTTCATCCTTAAAATGAATCGTAGACACTGGTGTTACAGACCATATAATATATGATCACACTTACCTACATTCTGAGAATAAAGTGGGTAGTATGGGGAGAGTGCAGTTGCCTACAAGGGATTCAGTCATAGTTTCACATGTTGGGGATATTCAACTTAATGACACTGATATGATCACAAATGATTTATGCATACCAGCCTTTAAGTTTAATCTTTTGTCTGTCAATAAACTGACAAAAGAATTGAACTGTTATGTTTCCTTTTTTCCTACACACTGTGTGTTTCAGGATCTCTTGTTTGGGAAGGTCAATGGGATTGATGAAGTTGGGGATGGATTGTATGTGCTGAATTGGAACACCAAGCAACAACAAAACAGAATTAAATCATTGTTTGCAGTAGGATCAGGAGAAATAGATCCAGAACTATGGCACAAGAGACTAGGACATGTTTCTATGGGAGTACTTAAGAGAATAAAAGATTTTAATACATGTAGTAACTTTGCTATTGAATAGTGTATGGTTTGCCCCCAAGCTAGACAAACTAGAGTTCTATTTCCTATGAGTCACACTACAGTAGATGATGTTTTTGACTTAGTTCACATGGATGTATGGGGTCCATATAAGGTGGCTACTCATAATGGGATGAAATACTTTCTTACTTTAGTTAATGATAAATATAGATGGAAATGGACTTTTTTATTGCTTTGAAGTCTGATGTAAATGTTGTTTTGAGACAGTTTTTTATAATGATAATGACTCAGTTTGGGAAAAGTGTTAAAGTTTTCAGGTCTGATAATGGAGGGGAATTTATTAATACTAACTGCCATGATTTATTTGTTCAACATGGCATTATTCACCAAAAATCATGTCCACATTCTCCACAACAAATGGGTTGTGGAAAGGAAACATAGACACCTGCTAGAAACTGCCAGAGCTATCAAATTTTAGGGCCATCTGCCACACAGATTTCGGGGTGAATGTGTGGAAGCTGCAACATATATTATCAACATAATACATTTGTCTATGTTAGGGAATAAGTTACCTTATGAGATCATGTATAACAAACAACCCAGTCTTGCCCATATCAAAGTAGTAGGATGTCTAGCATTTGCTACAAACCTAAGGAGAGATGATAAGTTTGCTCCAAAAGCTAGAAAAGCAATCTTTCTAGGGTATGCTATCAATCAAAAGGGGTACAAATTATTGGACATTGAGTCCAAAGTCATATATGTTAGTAGAGATGTCCTTTTTCATGAGACTGAATTTCCCTTTCAATACCCAGGTCTGAGTGAAGATGGTGTTCATGAGCCCTCTGACTCTTTTTCACATGAAGGAGATTCTGAACTGACACCCTGTGTTGTCTTCAGAAGTGCAATGTCTGCTAATGTTTCTGAATGTACAGATTCTTTATTATGCACTGATGATGAGCACAATGTTCTTGATCAACATGTGAATACTGCAGATGTTGGAGTTTTTCCAGCAGCTCCAGTATCCCTTCATGTTCCCATCATTGTTTCTGATAATAATCTCATCCTACAGGATGCCACCAGGAGGTCTAACAGATCTGCTAAGCCTCCACTCTGGCATACTGATTATGTGTTGACACAGAAGAAAACAGTTGTCTCTTATTTCATATCTGATGTACTTGACTATCACAGTATCTCATCAACTTATAAGAGTTTTGTGACTAAGTTTTCTTAAGAAAGGGAATCAACTTCATATAATGAAGCAATGCATGATCCTAGGTGGGTTGCAGCCATGCAGAGTGAGACCCAAGCACTGAAAGATAACCATACATGGAGGATTGTTCAGTTGCCTAAAGACAAGAAGGCAATAGGATGCAAGTGGATATACAAAATCAAATACAAAGCTGATGATGAGGTTGATAGGTTCAAGGCTAGGTTGGTAGCCAAGGGTTACAACCAGAAAGAAGGTCTGGACTATCAGGAAACATTCTCTCATGTTGTGAGAATGGGCACTATCAGGGTAATCATAGCTTTAGCTGCTACACACAACTGGCCAATACAACAGATGGATGTATTCAATGTCTTTCTTCAAGGTGATTTATATGAAGAAGTGTACATGACTTTGCCACTGGGATTTGTCCATAAAAGTGAGCAGGGGATGGTGTGTAAACTCATCAAGTCACTTTATGGACTCAAGCAGGCTAGCAGGCAATGGAACATCAAGTTGACTACAACTCTAATTGAATTTGGCTTTCAACAGAGTCATTATGACTATTCTCTGTTCACAAAGCACCAGGGATAGATCTTAGTGACAGTGCTGATCTATGTTGATGATCTGTTAATTATAGGAAATGATCACAAATTAATATTGCAGACAAAAGGAATCCTCAAGGACAATTTCGAGATCAAAGACTTAGGTGATTTGAGGTACTTTCTAGGGATTGAGTTTGCCAAGAATGACACTGGAATCCTTATGCATCAAAGGAGAACTAATTTCAGACATAGGTTATCTAGCCCAAGGCCTGTTGGAGCTCCTATTGAGATAAACCACAAACTCACAATTGTAGAGTTTGATATGCAATTCCCTTCTGAAAATGAAAATGACAAACTGCTAGATGATCCTAGAGTGTATCAAAAACTAGTAGGGAAATTGTTTTACTTAACAATGACAAGACCAGACATTGTTTTTGCAGTACAGTTGCTAAGCCAATTCATGCACAGTCCAAAGACATCTCACATGAAGGCAGCAATAAGAGTAGTTAGATATGTTAAGCAATCACTAGGTCTAGGCATACTCATGTCATCCAATGCTACTGATCAGTTGACTACATATTGTGATGCAGACTGGGCTGCATGCCCAAACAATCGAAGATCTATCACAGGGTACATGGTTACTTATGGGGATTCCTTGATCTCATG